AGAGGGATGGTATTACAAGATAATATTATGAAAAACAAACTCCAATAAGTTTTACAACCTAAATTAAATGGGCAATTTCCTTTAAAAACAAAATTTATTAAATCCCAAACCATGAGAAAGCATAAATAATACTACATCTATGATAGAAATTAAACTCATAATATAAAACCTTCCCACAAAAGAACCATCAAGCCAATATGACTTCACTAGTGTACTTGTCTATCAAATGCAGGGTACTGTGGCACTGACTGGGTGAGGATGTACCTCCCAAAGAAAGAAAAAAAGAAAAAGAGGGAGGGAGGAAGAAAGGAAAGAAGGAGGGAGAAGAAAAATGATTTCATGTATATTCTCTTTCACTTAGTCTGCAAATACTTATTGAGAACCTACTATCTCCTCTATCCTAGGCACTGGAAATATTAATAGAATGGTAAACCAAGTAAAATGACTCATTGCCTTTATAAAGCTTCTAGTGGGGAGAAAAATAAATGTATAATATTAACTATTCTGTCTGAATTGAATAAGGGAAGTCTATGGCATTTGAGTAGGCCCAGAATGAATAATAGAGGAAAACCTTTGGACTTTGGGGGAAATAGCTAAATTTAAGAATTTATTTTGATATTGCAGATAATTGTTTTGTAGTCCGTTGTTTACTTTGTTCTTTTATGTAGAAGTAATATGAAAATAAGAAAACTAATTGTGGTTTCAAAAATTCTAATAGATTATTAAACTTGTCTGAAAAAAAAACTTTGGCACAGTGTAGAGACTAGAATGTGGAGAATATCATTATGTAATATATGAATGAAATTCTACTCTTATGAAACCAAATGATGCTACTTTGAAATTTTCCATGCACTGGTCAGCACTTGTTGCACATGTGAGAGGATCTAGTATTTCCACTCCCTGCATATGTTTAGTGTGTCACCCTGGACATCTGCTAATGTTGAACATCTGGTTTTTGTTTTCATTGAAAGATGTTTCATTTGGACTGCCAAAAAGAGAATGGGGTCATTAGTTATTCTACAATGTGCAGTTATCCAGCAGATTCTCCTTGTATGAGAAATAATAGTATCAGAAAAGCCATATTCATTATCATTAATCCTAAAGTTTCCTTCACACTAAGAGTCATAACAGACATCATTTCAAAAGAAGTTGACAAACTATCGCAAGTCTTCAAGGAAAAGTAAAAATAATTTTATGTAGCATTTGTCGCCTGGGAATCATCATAAAGTGGTGTTTTCTGAACATTAAAGTCAAAACATAAGCAATAAGCAATGTAAGCTACTTATGTGCCTGTTGCATTATGTTTAAGTTATGTTTAGTGGTGTTTGAGTTTATTCATATTTGCTAAAAATGCATAATCTATGAGGCTTACTCTCTATTAATGTATTAGATTTTTCATTAACTATGACTAGTTATTGTTCAAGCATATTGAACAACTGAAAACTTAATGTTATGTAAAAGACTATATTCCAGAAGAAAAATGAGACATTGTACATTATATGCTTTTTATATTTTTATTATATTTGAAATGTATGAAACCAAATTCACCATCATTTAAATTATTTTAATCATCCATAGGAAATATAGTATTGGAAGTCCTGGCTAGAGCAATCAGAGAAGAGAAGGCAATCAGGGGTATTTGAATAGGAAAAGAGGAAGTCAAGCTATATCTCTTTGCAGATGACATGATCATGTACCTTGAAAACCCAAGAGAATCTGGCAAAAACCTCCTTACACTAATAAAGGACTTTGGCAAAGTCTCAGGATATAAAACAAATGTGCAAAAGACAATTGCATTTCTTTACACCAATAACAAACAAACAGAAACTCAAATAAAAACCACAACCCCATTTACAATAGCCACAAAAAAAAAAAAAAAGAAATACCTTGGCATCTTCCTAACCAGAAACTTGAAAGACCTTTACAATGAAAACTACAAAACACTGCTCAAAGAAATCAAAGATGA